AGTCGGCCAAACTATGGTAGCGGTGATTAAAAATGTGTGTATATATGTGCATATCATTACTTGGCCAACTTTGACCTGGGACGTGGGTGCGTTTTCGTGACCTCTGTCGCCCATACGAAGCTTGTTTACTTCGAGAAGCAAATAAATCGGTGTGCGTCCATTCCTGAATACACATCCCAGATGTCTGCTCGCACTTTTAACCTTCATAATATGGCCGAAGATGTGCACAGATCAACAACCACACTCAGCATATTTTAAGCGTAAATCACTTCCTGACTTTCGTATCTCTTGCTTCGATGTAGAGATTCCGAGGAGTAACTGTTTTATTGGTCGTCCGAACTGGAGCAAACTATATCTTAAAAAAGCAGATTAATAAACTTTTTTGCACTAAGTCTATTAAAAGCCGTGGAGTTCTCGGAGTGTAAATTCGGGTCATTTACTCCTATGAGATATTTTAAAATTCTAAAATCTAGTCCGTGTGACAGAAGCACTTTTGGCGAAAGAACCAGTGCATGTCCACCTGCCAAAAGACCCCTCATATGACGAGCATACTGAATACCAGATACCCTTTCAAATGGATCATTTACCATAATGCTAAGCTTAGTCACCAGTGGCTCATTTGTGGAGACCAACCAATACAGGAATCAGAAGAGGGACTTCATTTTAAAAAGACCATATTGCATGAGTAGTGGAATGTTCTGGGCGTCGTCGAACTACAGGAAAGTAGCCGGGCGATCAAAACTGATGTGCATTGCCGTTTGAGAGCCGCTCTAGGGGGGAAACACTGATCCTCAGTTCAGAAGAGAGAAATCATCTCCCACCCCGATAATGTCCCGCCCAACACCACAGAAGTCACCGGCGATCAGCGCTTTAACGCCCGTCATTGTGTGTCGTTGTGGATGGGGTTTTTATTCAAGCAGAAATGGGTGTACACCGATCCACTGGCTTCCCGAAGCAAACAAGTTTCGCATCGGGCAGCAAATGGTCACGAACCGGCGATCAACGAGGGAAGCCATGTCAACCCCGCTTGTAGTTCTCACTATTTCTTCCCAGGTGAACCCAGGCCAAATGTGAATTTAAACCTGGGCGAGTCCACTGTGGACACGCACATCGCCGTGCCACAACTCAGATCCGATGGAGGCGCAGTCGTCACTACGACCCCATCAACCCGGCCGATGAGAAAACAGACGGCTGACTGAGCGTAAACAAGATCACGGGCGTAGGACGACATCTAAGGTCAATGCGGGTACAGACGACGGCAGCCAACATCCAAACGCCCCCCCCCCGCCCCACGAGGGTCACGCAGACTGAGACCATTCCGTCGCCCTCCCCGCCCCGTCCACCACGGTTCCCATGTCCACACGGACGATGAGCGCCAAGGTCAAAACAGCGCCCCCCGCCCATCAGGCGGCATGGTGATTGAGGGTCTCCTCCCCACCCCTTCCACCCTGCGGCCGTTTAAACGCGGCCCTCACCACTTTTAATGGGGTAAGACGCTGGCCTCTGACGATGGAAGCCTGTTTGCTTTTGTAGCCTCAGGCCAATGCAAGGTAAGATGAAAGATCACCCGAGAAAATACCAGATATGGATACCTACAGTTTTGCAGCAGGTCTTGGATATAGGCAGAATGTTATTACCGACAAAGACAAGGGAGACTGGAATGGCCATTTCTGGCTTATTAGCCGTCGTCAGCCAGCCATACCCAAGCCCGAAGTGTGGAACACCCAGCCTCGAACTCGCGACCTGTTGGTTTAGAAGTCAACGCCTCTACCCACCGGGCCACGAGCCCGTTGCCTTGTCGGTTTTCGATCGGGAATATACAATGTTAGGGGGCGCTCACCGATCGTTCATACGGAACTCACTCGTTCCGTTGTGCCTTATGTCTCCCTTGTCCTTGTCGGTAATATCATTCTGCCTATATATCATGCGCCGCTGTGCGGCTGCTGGTTGGGCTCGAGAGAGAGTCCTTAAGGCACAACGGAACGAGTGAGTTCCGACATGGCACAAAAATGTTTACCTACTCTTCCGGAAGAGATAAGTAGGTCGCGGCGTACAGAATCGACAACGAAAGGCAATACAAGTACATTGGGGTAGTTATGAAATCAAGGTAAGACAAATGGAGTGCATGGAGTGGGAGCAATAGCACTATGCCAAATAATTTACCACTAAAAAAGTAACACTGAAACGACTCGATGCATGCGGTTATACCCAAGTGTTAGATAACACTCAAGGGTGGACTTTCTGTAGCTATGGATTAATAAGCAAAACAATACCTTCTAAAATAAATATAGTAGTTACTCATATATGCTAAACCCAATTGGGTTACACAACCTGTCCTTACCGTAACCTGAAAACCCAGTCACCGGGGAAGCGTTCTCAGCAAAATATGCCAATGCATGCAACGTACGGGGTAAGAACGGTTGACGCATTTTTAGATTGATCGCTTTTACATTATGCTGTCGCAAACCCCGCTATCTTGGATACTTCTAGTCTCTAATTAGACTCTGAATGGCCAACCCCAGTAAATGAACCAAACGTAAACGTTCTGATGGAAGGATCCTATTTCGTAGCCGCATCTGTTATGCGTTAGTGTTAGGGGTTGGGGTGAGGGCTAGGGGTTAATGTTAAACCCCCTATTACCACCGGTCCCCTATGACAGGCGGCTGGGACCTGTCTACTGCAGGTGCGGCTGCGAAATAAGATCCGACCGTTCTGATTCCCCGTTCCTCCATCGGAATCGAAAAGTTAAAAAACAAACCAAGGCAACTTTCGGGTTTAAACGGAAGGACTGTTCGAAATTGAGGCAGACTCCTATCGCCCTGGGCCGCCCCTTCAGCCTCTTCGGTTCCTGTTCCACTTGCTACAGGGTCCAGAAGTTATAACGATTTTTTCCTTAGGACTATCTGTAGTTCGGACATCAAAAAATATATAACGGTGCCTAGGCATGACTCGTAACAATCTTATCAGTCTGTCAGACTCTGTGGACCCTTTCTGGAGAACCTGAATTATAAATTAAAACTTCGTTGTTTGGTATACGACTTGAGCGGCCAGTCAAGTTGGCCGAGATGTTCAGTTCAGTTCATTTGAGAGAACGTAGTTGCACACCTTTGAAATCCCTACTTGTTACACACAGAGGAAGAATGTGAAAAAAGCTGGGAGAAAGGTACCGTCAAAGAACTTCACAGGAAATATCAAAAACTACACAGATAAACGAAATGCTTCATGCTTTAGCAGCATTTTGAGGCGATTCTATTCGGACTGTTTCGTGTC